GTTGTGGATAGGGCCGTCATCGCTTGCATCAAGGCAGAGATAAAGTCAGCTGTAGCAGGCTGGCTCGAAGACGGTCCTGGGGTCGTGAGTTCGGGTTTTGTTAGTTGGGCGATATGTTGCCGAGAGGGGGCATTAGGGCCTGTAGGACCCATCGCCGGCTCTTCGGGCTTCTTCCTATCCCCGGAGTTGGAACGGGTATTGACCATCTCTAATTTGCCGCTGGTATAAGGGTTAAATACCACTGCTGTTATAAATAACAGTTCCAGTGACAAATATCTGTTATAGGTAACAGTTCCAAGGAACGGTTACGAAATAACGGATCAAAGATAGAAAACAGAACAGGTACAATAATCTAAGTATTCCTTGACTAACGGAAGGAATAGCTTAGTAAATCAAAATAAATCAAACGGTATGAAAATATAATAGAAGATGAATGCTCCTAAGTGTTTCTTGACTTACGGAAGAAACAACTTAGGACAGAAATATAAAAGAAAGTGAAAATATGCAAATGTGAAAATAAAATATGGAAATATTTCTAAGTGTTTCTTGAATTACGGAAGAAACGGCTTAGAACATAAAACATTCAAGTATAAAACAAGAAATGCAAAAGGGAAATAGATTATAGAAATATGTCTAATTGTTTCTTGACTTACGGAAGAAACAACTTAGAGCAGAAAATAAACAAGAGAATATGGTAAAATAGATGTACAAATATTTATAAGTGTTTCTTAACTTACGGAAGAACAACTTATAATAAAAACAAGAAAATCAGATACAGAAAAGATGTGAAAATATTGCTAAGTGTTTCTTGACTTACGGAAGAAACAACTTAACGAAAAATAGAAAATAAAATAGTCAATAATATGAAATAATATCTTAGATAAAAGTATCAGAAATAATAATGCAAATATGAAAATACTTCTAAGTGTTCTTTTGACTCACCGGAAAGAACGACTTAGACACACACAAATTAACAAGTCAAATAAAATAGCAAAGCAATATTTCTAAGAGTTCTTTGACTTACCGGAAAGAACAGCTTATATACAAATACAAGAAAATAATCAATCAAAATAATCAAATAAAATATCAAACAATAAGTACATGAACAATGTGTAATATTCTAACCTGAAAAGGTCTGAATATACAATAATGCTAAAATAAAAATGGTATATAGGAAATCAGAAATAAAACAATAACTTAGTTGGAACAATAATAGCACCGACTAGGTCTACAGTAGAAGAGGCAAGCTCGACTGACCGATGAGAGAAATTCCGTCTGCTTTTATATAAAACAAATCCTTTGTTTTACGTAGTAAAAGTGGAATTTCCCTACATCGAGTCAATTAGAAATTCGGATTTGCCCACACTTGGAATTTCCAAGTATTTCTCCGAATTTCTAAATGCGTCCGGCACGGCGGTCAGCTTCTACCTGACACGCCTCCGGAGACAAGAGAGCCTCGATCTTCTCAAGCTGTCTACGCCGTTCTGTTCTGTCTCTTGCTTGCATTTTCCAGTTGCTGACTCCGATCTTCGCATCTTGTGTTACTCCATCCATCCACCTTAGCTTTGGTCTACCCCGTCTTCTCATTTCCACAGGTTGCGCCGTTAGAATCGTTTTTATCAGGGGTTTAATGGAGTAGTGATGCGCATCATAAGGCGTTGCTTCCAGATAACACCTGTAGCCTCTCCTACTCAATTCCTATCCTCACCTCCGAGAAGTGTGATCCGGATCACACGAGTGAACCCCGGTAAACCTGAGCAACCCTACTGGAGACTCGGTAACCAACCCCAGTGCAAGGTTTGGTCAGGGCTGACAAGAAATGAAGAAATGGTCCTCCGAAAAGGGGGTTGGGCATGAGGTTAACTCCCTCATCCCATAACAACCTATTGTTACGAAATCTCGAGATGAGACATCTATATCCAGAAGAAAACTGTTTTTATTTATTTTAAAACTATTATATTAATATTATTATGATTCTTTAAAAAAAGGTATAGCTAGTAGATAGAAAACGAACTATCGAGGTCCATGCATTTTTTAAATATGAGAAATTAATAAATAATAAAAGCTACCAAGTCCATGCACAAACACGTATGGTTCAAAACCAGTAAAATAACAGAAAACAAATCACAGTAATATTCATATTATTTTCTTTTATGGAAAATATACTCACGTTTTAGTATTTTACACCAACAAACGCTATTTTGAATTAAAAAATTTGATAAATTATGGCTATAACCTGACTACCTGACCATAACAACTGACCAAGTAACAGCGGACTGTCAGAATTACACTTTACGTTTTTGGCGACAATACAAAGCATAATTTCGTATGACCAAGTTGTACTAAAATATGAATAAAACTGAGTTATCAGATTTCGTTAAATCGCCCTTGCGCGTGAAAACGAAGATAAATCCAAAATTGCCATTTGGAAATATAAATGTTTAAATTTTTTTTATGAATTTATAAGCAAATTTTAAATGAAAAAACTTAAATCTAATTAAAGATGAATTAAAAACTTTATTTAATTTTACAAACTAAAATAAAATATTAAACTGTAATTTTGAAAATCATTATAACATGAGAAAAAAATAGTTATATCCAAATGTACATAACTTTAGCGTACATAATCCTATCATTATTGGCTCCACGATCAGAAATCGTTTCGTACCACATACAACAAGTAGTTTTGTTATTATCACAATCATGAATTGTACTGGGTTGTACGTCAATAGTTGCCTTTTATAAAAAACTTTAAAGTGTTTAGACTTGGCGTGGGTAAACACTGCTACAAATCAAAAGCAAAAACTCGCTGGGTCTTGTCATCTTGACAAATTATTTTATCTTTTCTTTTTGCGGCATATGCAGCTTGTGATTCTTCTGGATGCCGATTTAGTTCTCTTCCTATTTTTTTCTTTGGTTCTTTTTTCTTTTCATTCACCATAGTTTTATGTAACTTGTCATAAGTTTGACATGTATCGTTACTATATTTTTTTATTGAAATGTTCATTGTATGAATATAGTCACATATCTTTCTACTTACGGTACTTTGAGGTTGGATCCAAGCTTTATATTCATCATACATTCTAGTCAATGTATAAAAAGAAGGTAAAAAACATCTATCTTTTTTTTCTTTAGTTTTTTTCACGACAATAATGTTATACCGGATGTTATGTTGTTATAACGGAAAAGCTAGTTTTTGTAATAACATTTTCTATAAACTTATTCGACAAATGAAATGTTTTTTGAAAGCACTGTTTACAAACTTCAATTAGCTTAATTAAGTTTCATTGTCTTTTTACCTGTCTCAAAATAAGACTTGGAACAATAAGCAAACCTTTAATTATAATCTCCTAAAATTCAGTAAATAACTATATAGTTTACGTTCGTCTATTGTACGTTTTGTTGGATAGGAGAAATCCTATTCATTAAAACGTGGCATGTAAACAGCAAAACCTACGTCTTCTCGAATCGAAATAAAATCCAAGATCAGATCGCAGAAATGATGGAAGTTTTGCGACAACTGATAGGATAAAATGTAACGTGAAAATACATATTCGGACAAGTTGTCCGATCTTGACTAAGTTGACGACTAATATAGCTCCACTGCATAGTTCACTTCATTTTTCCCAAAAAAGCCTAATAATGTCAGATTTGCGGCAATGCACCTACGACTATTATTATGTACTTATATTTAAGTAGTTCTGTTTTAAAACCAAGTAGATTGCATTACAGTTTTCAGGAATTGTTTGACTTAACGCTGATTTGGATATTATGGTTGTGAACTCACAAGTCCTTGAGGTTATAAAATTAGTATGTCGTTCTTTGGTATTTTTTTGTACAATTCTTCAAGTTTCTCATAGAATTCATCCTTTTCTTCTTCGGGAGCATTCTCAGTAGGGGCATATATGTTAACAAATGTTCAATTGGCTTGTTTATTTTTCATTCTAATTTATGATATTCTTCCATCAACCGCTTTACAGTTAATAATCTTGTCTCTTACGCTGCTACTAACTAGAAAGGCAGTTCCATTGCGCCCCTGTTTGCTTTCTCCTGCGTAGTACATTATGTAATTTCTTCTAGCAATCATCCCTTCTCCTGCCCACCTTATTTCTTGTAGCGCTAGTATTCCCATCTTGTATTTTATCATTTGTTTTACCAACTCTTTCATTTTGCCTGTTCTTAAAAGTATTTTGATATTCCACGTTCCTATTCTTATTTTTTTATTTTTGTTTTTTGCTTTATTTTGTTTTGTTTTGTTTTTGCGTCTTTTCTTACAAAACAGTTTCATGTCCGTATTCATTGCTAACTTCGTTATACTGTTTACATTTTCATCAATTTTCCTCTTGGATCTATATTATCAGATATGGAAGATCTGTCGTTTATTGTCCTAGCGTTACCCTTCTTCTCTTCAGGTTTCTTCCAGTAATTTACGTATATGCCTTCTAGTTGCTCCAGTGAGAACGGTTCACTATTTATCCATAATTTGTTGTATTTTAATGCGGCTTATGTGTCCTTTCTGGCGCACCATTTTCATGTGCTGGAGAAGATGCTTCCTTTCTTTTAGTATTTTCTTCGGGAAGTCCTCATTGATATATATTTCAGTTCCTCTTAGGTTTTTAGCAGCCTTCAGAATTTCCATTCTCGTAGCTTCCTTTTTCATTTTTAATATGATGGGTCTGAGTACATTTTGGGGATCACCTTGTCTGCATATTCTTCTCATCTCTACCAGTTCAAAAACAGATACTAACTCTACATTACCTAACATGAAATTAAAAAATCTTTTCCTTGTTAAATATTCGTTTCTTATTATATTTTCACTCAATAAGATCATTAAAAATATTGCACAAATTTTACAAAATAGGAATACTGGTTATCAGTTTTATTGCCCAACGATAGATACTAAGTGAGGTAATAGCCAGAGCTACACATCACGCGAGTGTAACATCTCTTAGTAAAGAACTAAGGAAAGAACTTATTATAAATAAACACAAAATATTTTTAAATATTGTATATTTATGTTTTAGTATTAAGATTTATAAAGAAATTAGATTTCATTTTTTTAAATTCATTTTTTGTACTATTTAACCCAATCTGGAAACTGCAAATCCCAAATGACAGGAGCATAAAGGGGAAATATACATATTAATGTAGTTAGGCAGATAAAGTACACACCAATACCAGCTTTAGCCATTTCTATACCTTTAACTCTACAAGGTCCTGCGATTAATGCATTTGGAGGTGTGGATACTGGTAATAAAAAACAAAGACAACAGGCTAATGCAACAGCCAATCCTAAATACATTGGATGCACTTCAGCCACTACGGACATATCCATAATGATAGGTGTGAGAATAGTTACGCAAGCAACGTTGCTGGATAGGAACTGGGTAATAATTGAGGCCATACCAATACAAACTATAAGTATGTAGATTTTGTCATTTTGTAAAAAGGACTTAAGGGAATTAGCTATAAGTCCTGTCATTCCACTTTCTTTAGCAGCATCCGCCATTGCGAATCCACCTCCTAAAATAAACAATAACCCCCAATGCATTTTGTGTTCAATTGTTTTCCAAGAGACAATACTACGTGTTGGAGCAACTGGCCTTTTATCTTCATCTTTAGTGAAAAAGTAAATAAAATCCGGATAAAAGGGGATGATAATTACAACCATAACAATTATAATTGCAACAACGGCATCTCCAACTTTAACGTCTGTTATGAGTTTAGGCCATCCAGTCATAAAGCCAGGTCGTCTGAAAAACCAGAGAACAATGCATAAAATGAAGCTAACACCAACAACTATTTCACTAAAATGTAGGGCTTTAAGATCTTGAATTTTCTGCTCTATTATTTCCTTTGCTACCCTTTCTGCTTCTGCACTTAAGTTAACTGCTCTGGCTTTTCTGGACCGAGGTCTAAATAGACCGAAAAACCAAAATTGCATCCATGTAATTGTTAATATACCGTTTATTGTCATAATGGGAATATTAAACATCATCCACTTAGCAAACTCAACTCCAGGACCGTCTGGAAACCTTGTTTCATAAATTCCTTTGTAAGCTAAATGAGATCCGGATCCGATTATACATCCCGTACCTCCTATAGTTGCCAAATAAGCAATAGATATATAGTAGCACATTGTTATATCTGTAGGACTTAGGTCTTCTTCCTCTTCTCCATCTTTATTAACAATTTTTGCATCTTTTTCCCTATTCCACATCTGTAGCAAACCTTGTTCTTGCATAGCAACCAGCGAACCTTCTACTATTGGCAACATCAATGCAGTCGCCGCTGTGTTAGCTATCCACATCGAAATAAAGGCAGTTACTACACATAAACCTATATGCAAACGTTTTATACTGCAGCCCACGAATTTAATAACATATAAAGCTATTCTGATATGAAGTCTTGATTCTTCCATTGCAATTGCTATCACAATACTTCCGATAAGCATCATGTTCGTATCATTCATATAATTTGCAGCGACTTTGTCTGAACTTAAAATGCCCATCAGCGGAAATAATATCATCGGTATTAAAGAAGTTATAGGTGGTGGTATGCATTCTGTTATCCAATATCCACACATAATAATCACTACATATATGCATCGGTAAGGAGGGGAATAGTCGTATATAAAAATAAATGCTGGTATGAAGGGCCAAAATATTGTAAACAAACTTTTCCAGTAAATTTTCACAAATTCCATAAATCGTGTCATCTTTTAAAATTAGTTCAAATTTTGAAGATCATTTTATATAACTTTTAATTAATAATGACATTTTCTTCTTCTTTTTCGTTTTTTTTTTGGTTTAGATTATACTTCTTCTTCTTTCGTTTTATGGCCTCCACCTCTTAGGTACGTGGCCAGCTTATGTATATATTTTTATTTCAATTATAGAAGAGAATTCTCCTCACAGAGATTCTGGAAATAACCATATTCCCTTCAACTATTTTGGACAATTTATAATGGATATTCTAAAATAATTCTATATGTCATTAATGATATAGATTTTTCTTGATTCATCTATTAAGCTATGCAAGGTGTATCTGGAATTTGGCATCTTGGACAGGACATCAATGGTTAAAGGATAGGTTAGGTTGGGTATTTATTTATATTTTACTTACATTTTAATTTGGAAAATATTGATAAACTTACCAGTCGTTTTCAAGGTTTTAGCATTAATATTGTGGAAAATAGTTTGTACTGAAATGGGGGTTGGCCATCCATCTTTAATAAGTTTTTGATATAAATCAAATAGTGGTGTCTTATTGATAGGACACTCTAGCAAGATGTGTATTATACTTCCTATTTGACCACACTCACAAAAAGGGGAATCAATACAATTGTTGTCAGGTGTCTCCGGTCTACAAAGTCAAACTTATGAAACCATGGTTTTATAGAGAATTCGCTTTGACATTGTTGATACCACTTTCCCTTTTGTTTAAACTGTTTAAGCCAATCAAGTTTAAATTCATTTATTAGTGTTTGAGTAACAAATGAAAGATAGTCCATTTTATCAATTTTTATGTTAGCGTTGGGATGTTTAAGGTTCTACCGATATTCGACAATTGATCCGCCACAATATTCCCTTTTACTCCTGAGTGGCCTGGAATCCAGGCTATAATAATATCAAGTCCTGCTTCATTTGCCTCAATTATTATTCTTTTAGTTAAATTTACAATGTGGTTATTTGTTTCCCAACAGGTACTTTGTAATTTTTGGATTGCACTTTTTGCATCAGAGAATATTATTGCTTTTTTAATATTTTTTTCTAAGCAAACTTCTACTTCCTTATTAATCGCTATAATTTCAGCAGTGCATATTTGTATGCGATCATGTTGTAGTCTAGATGCATAGTTATAATTTATTGATGGAATGTGAACTCCAAACCCTACTGCCCTTGAACTGGGTTCTAATGACCCATCTGTAAATATCCAAGGAAATTCTTCATAGATGGTTGAGAATTCATTAAGACATTGTTGATTACTACATGTTTCTCTTTTTTTGTTTTTGTAGAATAATGTTTTTATTCTTTCTATTTGATATTTTAGCTCAATCTGAAAACAGGACTTAATACTATCTTTAAATAATTGTTGAAGATCTTGATCAAATTTACTTTTAATGTAAATGAGATATGGTGTCTCTTCCACATTCCTATCTGATTATTGATTTTGAACTCTAGTTCAGACAATATTTCATTCAATAGGTTTTCTATATCAGCTGCGAATTTAAGATGAAATTTACCAGACAGGATTTTTCGTCTGATTTCTAATGATGTTTCTTCACTCTCAGCTAATAAGGCATTCGTAGGAGTAGATCTCATACAACCTGTGATAATCCTCAAAGCTTTAAATTGGATTTTTTCTAATGTTACGAGGTTGGCTTTATTGCAGGGTTTTAGTACGAAAAACTCGAGTTGTTATCAACAGGTCCTCGAAGACACTTCGTCTCAGGACCATTTTACCTATGTAGGGTCATACGTCGCCACATTACCAATTCCAACGGTAACTTAAACATCCTAATTTATAACTATATATAATGTAAAACAACTGTAAATTTATAACATTTAAAGGGTTTTTACCCAGATATTTTGGTGGCTTATAGCATGTATACTTTGTTTACACTGATGATGGATTTAACAATCTGAAGACGTTCTGTAATGTACTTTTTATAAAGGATTTAAAATAAATTTTTTCAGCACTGAAGATTGAAAAACTAGGATTTAGTCGATAAAGTTTTTCTTTATTAGTTGATGAAATATAGAAAGCACATCCAATACCAACAATAGACTTTGAGGCATCCGTTTAAATATCTGAAGAGTCTGACAGACTAGATAAATAGGATCTCAAAATATTCTAGCTAACACAAGAATTTACATGATAATTCGGTTGTATCACAGTAATGGGTTGCAAGCACGAATAAAAATGTTCGATGTTAAGATTTTCCTCTGATTTAAAATCATAATCAAAATTTGTTAGGCTTCTAAAAGCCTCTCAAAGTGGAGGTGAGTTCTTAAGTCTCCAATATCAATTAGTTAAAATCTTCTTCGTTCAATTTTCTGATATTTAAGTAGAGAGTAGTGTTACGACTTTGTATTTTAATAACAAACTTTTGACTGAGGTATTCTCTTCTATAGCCCAAGGGATTTTCCAGAGCTTCCACATGTAGAGCATTAATTGGCGTCGATTTTATAGAACCTAAACAAATACGCAATGCTGCGTTTTGAAACACATCTATTGTTTTCAGAATATGTTTACTTGCTGAACCATATAATATGCATCCATAATCGATAATTGATCTAATATAAGATCGGAAGAAAAGCAAAGAAGTTTCCACATCTGCACCCCACCATGTTTTTGTAATTGATTTCAGCATAAACTATCCAACATAAACTCAACCCGAAGTTTCCAAGTTACCTTGCGATCGAGAATCATTCCCAAATATTTAATTGAAGAACTGAAATTAAAATCATACCCATTCAATTTTATTTGATTTAGTTTTGCGATATTGTGTCGAGTGAAGATACTAATACTTGATTTATTTGATGCAATTTCAAACCCATTTTGTTTGAACCAATTTTTGAATCTATCATGTCAGACGAGTTTCGTTTGTGTTTGATTTATCAGAGGTTTTTTCGCCCATGTTTTAATTGCCTTTTAATGAGTTTATGTCCGCGTCCATTACTTCATTACTAATATGAATTTGATTTTCAACTGCACTGATCTCTTTGTTTATCAAAAACACACCCGAACAAGTTCTAGGGTCACTAGACTCCCCCATTAGGGGAGTCTTTTAAAACAATTGTATAAATTTAAATGTATGTGTTTATTTACAAACACCTAAACTAAAAACCTAAATAAGTCGAAAACCGGTTGGTTCTGTTTACAACGGAGCTAATTATTAACCCAGATATTACTACCTTCCTTTTAAAAGGCAGTGTTAATTATGCGTAATTTAGGTTAGTACAGCTACCAACTGATAGATCGCTCTAGATGGAATGTTTTCAAGAGCCACCATTCGACAAGTTTTAACGATTTTAGTGCGCGCACATGCTGTAATTGTGAGGTTATCTGTGTAAATTGCCAGGTTTTGGACTACAAAATGGATGCTTATAATAGGAGGTAAGCCTAGAATTAAAAAACTCTTATTTCACGGCATTGGCATGTGGATTATTGTATAATAGGGACTTATGTACGTATATTCTTGGCTCGAATAGTTGTCACGTTGTTTCAAAGGCTCGCCGCTTGGGATTTCATTTTGTTCTTTTAAAAGGACGGTAGTAATTAGTACTACCAACGTGCGTATTGTTTCAGGAGGCCTCTCAAATTGCATGAGCCATTAGAAGAGCTTGATTCTGATGAAATCCCAGTCCCTCCAGATGGTTTGATCATATTTCCCCCAGAAAATGCCAATGATGATGCCACCGATTGCGACTCCGGCGATGAAGAACTAACTACAATAAATAATTTACCGGGTAGTCAGATGAGAAACGATGTAGAACTTGTTTTTGACAACGCAACTGAATTACCACAAGATTCTGTGAATTCCAGAATACCAGAAGAAGATTCGGATGATGACAATATACCGTTGGCTTTGTTTCTTTCCAAGGAAAAGCTGCCACATCAATTAGAGAAGAGAATATCTGCACACTGGATTCAAGGAGACTTGTATCAACACCCTGATTGTACTTATTGGAAAACTCAATTTGGACCGAAAATGACTCAGTCGCCGATGGAAATTTTCAATTTGTTTTTTGATGATGAAGTCATCAATTTGGTTACCGAATATACTAACATCTACGCAGGACAAAGAAATCTTTTGAACGACATTACTCAAAATGAGATTCGATGTTTTATAGGCGTTCTTGTATTAAGTGGTTATGTGGTTGTGCCGAAAAGGTACATGTACTGGGAAAATCATGACGATTCGCACAACGCAATGGTGGTAGCTGCTATATATAGGGATAGATTTTCCCACATAATGAAAGTTTTGCATGTTTGCAATAACTTGTCATTAGATAAATTTGATAGATTTACCAAGATGCGACCCCTGTTCGACGTAATAAACAAAAAATTTATACAATTTTCCCCTTTAGAACAACATCACAGCATAGATGAGACAATGGTTCCGTATTTTGGTCGCCATCCCACAAAACAATTCATCAGGGGAAAACCAATCCGTTGGGGGTACAAAATGTGGGTAGGAGCCCTTCGTCTGGGATACATAGTTTGGTTTTCTCCTTACCAAGGTAGTTCCACTACAATACCTGAACAATATAAAGTCCTTGGATTGGGTGCATCTGTAGTTCTATCCTATGTAGACAGATTGAATGAAGTATGGCCTCAAAGGCGATTCCATCTTATTTTTGATAATTATTTTACTTCTATTCATTTACTGCATGAGCTAAAACAAAGAGGCATATTTGGTACAGGCACTGTAAGGGAGAATCGCACCATGAAATGCCCTTTACCCTATTCATCTATTATGAAAAAAACTGAACGTGGTAAATACGAGTATCGTCTTGATAAAAATACAGGAATAGTGGTTTGCCGCTGGCATGATAATAATATCGTTTCTATTGCTTCCAATTTTGTACCAGTAATGCCTTGCTTCTCTGTAAAGAGATTTTCACAAGCAGAGAAAAAACATATTCAAGTTCCTCAACCAAATATTGTTAGAATATACAATAACTTCATGGGTGGTGTTGATCGCAGTGACCAGAACATCAGTTTATATCAAGGGTCCATAAGATGAAAGAAGTGGTATTTTCCCCTTTTTGCTCATTGCG